CCAGGGCTAACCAGGAAGCCCCAGATCAGATGGAGACTCTGTTTTCCCAGACCCTTTGGGGTTTCCCTTCCAGAGGGAGGCTGAATAGGCAGGCTCCAGAAGAGCTGCCCACAGCACAACCTGCTGGCATCTCTCAGCCAAGGCAAGACTGCTCTAAATACATCATCCAGCCTAGTAGCAGCACAGAAAGACAAGGTCCAAGGACATGAAACTACAAGGAAGTTGACCCAAAATGCTGTAGAGCAGAGACCAGCTTTGCCACAATAACTAACTATCCAGCAAGACCAAAAAGTCAAAGCAGAGTCCTAACCCTGAACTAAGGCCTTCTAACAGATAGGAATCATTACAGGTCTAAGCTTTGCTGTCATTTAGGCTGGCTTCTTCTAGAAAAGCACAAACTTATGAGCCCATACTTTGTGCAAGATTAAAGCATTTGCTTTTGAACCCACAGGCCAACTTCAGCCAAGTGCAATAAAGGTAATTAAGTTTCATGAGACTTAGAGGCCATGGAAAGGAGACAAATAGAATTGCCCTGGTCAGGGGAGATGCTACAATACGAACTTGCCTTTCCTGCATATTGGAGAACCCACAGTGGAAAAAGCCCTTAGAAATGCTTCAGTAGGGTAGGGCTCGGGTTGCCTTTTTTGATGCCAGAAATGAGCAGCCACTGGACAAACCCAGAGAAACCTGCTCCATGATACCTCTGTTTCTAGAGTTCCCTAAGTGTTGTCCAACTACACGCATTAGTTGTTTTAAAGGACATGCTTAGGAGTTCTGCATATGCTCCCCAATTGTCTCGATACCTCATGGCATATTACAAACTCACATTTGCAAGTAAGAAGTTCTTCATTCCTGTTATTCCTTTAAATGTTTTAATATTCCACTATTTCCTTTCTCCTCTGCTGTCTAGAACAACATACATCTAATACAGGCAATTAAATAAAAGGGAGGTGGCATTTAGAATTAATCTAATCTAAATTTAATTCCAGGATTTTCCTGTGGTTTATTGAGAAAGAGGCCATGCAACATTGGTTGAAGCCCAATGTGCGTCAGATATGCTAAGCTTCACAGCAGCAGAATGTTGCTTTTGGCAATCCCTTAGCAGATGTCTTCTGGGTAGGACCCTGTCTATTGTTATATTGTGAATTCTGCAAGTAAACTTTCAAAGGCATTGCATTTCCTTGGCTAACATACTTGCTATTAACTATTGCAACACTACACCATGAAATGCAATAGACTTGCCACCATTTGTGGCCTCAAAAGCAAAACAAATGAAGTCATTCTAGGAGCCTGGCTTTAGTCCAAACAGAAACAATAGGTTGGAAGTAGAAAAACAAACAAATAAATGTTTGCTGCTGGTGACCTCCAACACAAAAAGAGCCAGAAGGGAAGAAATCCTAATTGCTTTGGATTTGCGTATCAAGCCACCGCTACAGAAGAGCCCTTTAGAGGACTGCACATGCAATCCACCTTCCACAGTCCCACTGCTCTCCTCCTTCAATGCTCATGAGTAGCCAGATGCAAAATAGAACCAAGAAAGCTGCCAAATCTTTACAATTGGGTTTCAATGTACAAGCCAGAAAACACACCTTGAATTACAGAGGCCATGCTCCAGCCCAGTATTTTTATTTTTTAATACCTAAACTGAGCTAGTACAAGACAAAACCATTGGGATGCAAAGAAGAACCTAATTGACATTTCTCCAGCTGGCACTGCACTTTGAGCACCATTGTAATAGGACAAGGGATAATAGTTTTAAACTAAAAGAGGGTAGGTCCAGACTAGATAAGGAAGAATTTTTTTATGGTGAGGGTGGTAAAAACCTGAAACAGGTTGCCCACACAGGTGGTAGATGCCCTATCCTTGGAAACACTGAAGGTCAGACGACACGGCTCTGAGCAACCTCATCTAGTTGAAGATGTCCCTGTTCATTGCAGGGGGGTTGGACTAGATGAACTTTAAAGGTTCCTTCTGACCCAAACCATTCTATGATTCTATGGTAAGCATGAAAAACTTTGTGTGCAGAAATGCACTGAGGTAAGACTCGTTCTGGTGCTCAGCCTTATACTAAAAAGCTCAGTTTCTGCTGAGAAAGTAATTCACAGCTAGGAGTTCAGTAACTCAAGTAAGAACAAAAAAGACAGGCTGTGCCAGTATCTGAAGAGGAGACCTGGATGTAAACATACCAGGGCTGTGGGAACGGCAACAAGCTCCTGATGAGTACTCACCTTCCTGTAAGAACCTGTTAAGAAGCCACAAAGATTTTTATGGTGGTGGTTTCTTTTAGCCATGATGTAGTTGTAATATTCTCACTGTATCCATGAGAAACTCCCTAAGACTCTTGTAACCCAAATCCAACTCTTGTAATTATATCCTACCCACTTAAATTATCCCCGAAAGGTTTTATTTGTTTTTAATAAACCAATCTAAGAAAGTATCTGTTTTTAGAAAAGAAAACTCTCTCAGAGTTTTGTTTAAGTAAAGCCCCCTTCCTACTCTCTCCAAGAAATCAGTACAGTAGTCTAATATCCCTTCAAAGAAGAGAATAAAAACCAATGCAACTTCACAAGCTTCCAGTCCACATAATATGGTGTCCAACTTTAGGCCTATGAAGAGATCCACAGAGACCCAAAGAAGTAAGGCCACAGTTAGCGCAAAGTTCATCCAAAATTTTCCCCATTTCCAGGATAAGCAATTACAAGTCAGATGATCATAGTTTATCTTTGTGTAAATAGCTCAGGCAACTTCAAAAAAAAAGTACTGCAGAGCACTAGCAGAACAGCTGCAACACTGACCCTTTATGCAGGAAGGCACTTCCTACAGACCGGAATTCACTTACATAGTCAGGGAAAAGTCACAAGGAAGAGCACTATTGCCTGGATTCACCCTATCTAAATGCAAGTATTTATCTGAGATGCCTAAATGAGGAGAAAAAGTGAGCTGAATCTGCAGTAACACCCATCTCCTTACTTGGGAGGAGACAGTTCCTATCTCAGTATCTGGAGTAGAGCTCGAAGACCACATGCTTAGGTCTGTGGTTAGTGACTCACCTGCTTAAGTCATACAATTAAGGTGAAATCTGAGATCCCCATGTAAAGATAAGCCTCTGGACTTTGTGGTTGTACGGCAGCACGTGCCTGACATCTTCTAACAGCTCAGAACAGTTGCACAAACAGTCCCTAGCCTCTCAACATGGTGCAACTCCCCAGCTACACCGGGGCATGTTCCCAGCACCTTGTTGCATAGATACTGCACACAGGTGGCTCCTGGAAGATGGCAGAAATCAAGGTTTAGTTCCCTTCTGCTGAGGAGAAACCAATTTAAAATAACCTTAAGATACAATAAAGTTCAATCCTGAAACTTTTTCTTTCCCCTCCAGGAAATGTTGTGTGAATTTTGTGGCTTATACTTCAAGCCTTCCAAGGAGAGAGACTCCCAAAACCACACTACCCTTTTACCCTGAGAGATTGTCTAACCCTACCAGCATGCAGATGCAGTCTATGTAAAAGCACTGCAAAATGCAACCTGATGCTGACAGCCAAGTCATCTCACTTCCAAAGCAATCTCTTTCGTTTCTTCAGCATACTCTACACGCTGAAATTTTGTCCTCAAAATTCGTATTGGGTAAGATTCAGGAAACTACATCCCTCCCATTTCTTTCAAACAACCCCTTGCCTCTGCTGATGCTTGTGCAATTTGCAGCTAATTTGGATAAATAACCAAACCAAAACTCAACAGCTCAAATTCTGAGGCTTGCCTATTATCAGCCTCAAGCTTACATGCAAGCAAGATTAGAGCACCAACTAATTCAAAGTGAGAGACAAGCTATCAATCTGGTTTAAAAAAAGATACAATGCACCTTGAATTCAGCATTTTGCTATGGGTATGTACGTGACATTCAAATAAGATGCGTTAATCACTGAAAAATACTTGCCGAAAATCAAGTGTTTTCTACTCACTCTCTCAGCTGCAGATCTTAGGAGGTGAGCTGCAACTGCACATACAATAACATTTCCAAATTGCCAGCAACTCTGAGCTGGTCCTAAATGCAAAACAAAAACCAAAATAGAATCTGATGCTCAATGCATGAAAGATAATAAGCAGTGAAACCGGTCTGTATACCTGGGAGACTGGCAGCATACTGCTCCGAATTTACAGAAGAGTACCCTGGAAAATGATCAGCATCTTCTGTGACATGTCCATACTTCCAGTGAGGTCTTCAAAGCCCCCATACTTGGAATACTGAAGTAAAGCTCATTTGCTTAAGCCCCAAAAGCCCACTTGCCTGCTTCTGAACTGGCAGGGATAGCAATGAAAACAGAAATGCAACAAGATATGCCCTTCCAGGGCCCCATTTATTAAGTGAATACAAAAATAAGATCATTTAAGTGCAGAGGCACAGTAATCTACTCCATGGTGAAAAGATATCTTGGGTTTGCAGTAAACAGAGTTTACAATGCCTTGTGAATAGGTCTCTTTACAAGCAAGAAGCATACTGACACATGACACGCATTGGATTAAAAGTTCCCTGTTGCAGCAATACTCCACACTTCTCATCTGACAATTTCAGAGCACTTTACAAAAGGTGAGAGCATCCTTTGCTCTGTTGTCAGAGGAGCACACCTGAAAATAATGAAACTAATGAAATACAAGGAACTTGCACTGTAAACAGTTGAAAAAGCGCCACAGCATTTTTAGAGGATGATGGCTTTACCCCTTGTTAGGTTTGTTTTGCAATTAAAAATAATGGCCAAAGCTATTGTGCATTATGGAAGTTTTAAAAATGATTACTTTTTTTTTTACAGCAACCTGTTGCACAGTTGAATAAAAAATTTTTTTTTCCTTAATACAGTACATGGCATTTCTCCTCAATTGCACCAGAAGTAAATTTGGAAGCACTTTCAGTTTGTCTTATAGGCAAACAGGAAAAAAACCACCCAAGTCAGGCAGGCTTTCAATCTCCTTTTCATCTCTCTGTCCACTGTTTTATCCCCATCCTTTCACATCTCTGAGTCCACATACATTCCATTGATCAGGTAATCCACTTGTGTATAATCCTTCTTCTTGTAGCTCTCGTATGCCTGCATAAGGAAAAGAACTATGACAGTTATGAAAAAAAACATACCAACTAAAAGGACTGCAAGGAGCAAGCTTTTATCTACTAAGTACTGAGTCAGGGGCTCAGCAGCTATGAGAAGATACTCATTGTCCATATCCCGAGTTTCTGCAAGGCCTGAAGCTGTTGTTTTGGGTGTATCTGCTGGAGCTGTGGTTGTTGAAAAAATGTGAGATGTTGACTTTATCCCACGCCCAGTCGTAGTTTCTGCCGTAGAGGCAGTAGTTAAATCCATGGCACTTCTTGTAGAGCCCAGAAGAGAAGGTGATTTACTCAAAGATGTTGTGGCTGTACTTGCTTCTGTCTCTAGATATAGCAATGTAACAACAGACAGTGGGTTCGTAGAGCGTGAATTCTCCAAGGGGGTGAGTGACATGGCACGAGTGGAAGCAGTGGAAGATGTTCCTGCATCCTGCGGGATGAGGGTGGTCAATGTTGTGCTCAGACTCTTTGGGCCAGCTCCACCAGTGGTGGGGCTACTAGAGTGGGGAGTGCTGGTGGTGGCTGGGTTAAACTGCTCTGTTTGAGACATCTGAGTACCTGCTTCAGAAATGACAGTGACGGGAGCAGAAGTAGAAGTGGGGGACAATATTGAGACAGAGCTACTATTTCCCAGTTTTTCAGTGGTGGTCACAAGCTCGGTGACGTGGCTGGAAGTGGAAGCAAGGATGTTACCAGAGGTGGGAGAAGAGGCAGTGGGTGACACAGCTTCAACAGGGAGACCAGAACCTCCAGCGGTATTTGAGACTTTGGCAGTTGCTTCATAAGCTGTAGTGAGGACAGCGACATTTGTGATGATTGTTGTTTCAGCTGTGGCAGTGGTGGTGGTCACTGTGGTGGTGGTGCTTGCAATTGTTTTTCTTGCATTTATTTTTACACCTTCACTCTCAACCTCAAGCAATTTGCGAGTCCGAGCAGTTAAGGAAAACAGGTTTTCCACATTGTGTCGGTCAACCCGTGCATTCACCATCCTCTCCTTTTTCTGTGGATGGCTTTGGTGGTGAAACAGGACTGTTTCCCTTTTCCCACTGACAATTTCTTCAAAAACACAAAACCAATGAGTTTCATGAGAATAAAACTCTCAAGCTCACATCTGACCTTATACCCCCAACATGCAAGACAGAACACATATTCTGCAGTACATGTAGTACAACTGGAATAAATCAGTCCTGAAGTCACCAAGAACATGAAAACTCAGACCCCTGCTCTTATTGCACGCAACTTCTCTGGGGTTGTTTTTTTATATTTGATTGGGTTTGGGGGTTTTTTGGCCACATATCTCTAGCATTTGCTCAACCAGGGAATTAATTCCACAAAAGGGGGGTAATGAAGTACAGAGCTACAACACAGAAGCACGTTATCAACAGAACCAGCATTATAAATGCCAGCTCCTGAGAAGACGACTCATGCTTTCAAAAGTTACACAGCATCAACAAAGCCTTCGTGCTTAGATTCATAATTTTCACCTCTCAAAACTGAGTGGAAATTTCCACTTACACCTTCATACTTCAGGAGAACTTCCTTCACAACTAGTAATCTAGATTTATAGTGACATAAATTCCATCTGCTTATCAAAGGTCTGGTTGCTATGTTGCAGAGAAACCCTTGCCACAAACAAACTTGGGTACAGCAAACTCTTGAAACATACTTTAGAAGATTGATTCCCCAATTCCAACAAGCTCCATTTTGTTACTGTGTCACTTAATTAAAATTGAAGACCCTGGCACTGGAAAGTCACCATGAGCAATTGCTGCTAAGGCTGCTCTGATTATAGAAGTAGCCTGCTGCCTCTGGCACAAAATCTTGGTAATCTCAGAAAAAACAACGCCAAGATATTTTCCTTTCTCTTTAAATACATCTGCTATGCCTTTATTTTCCAAGGGACAGCCAGTGTGTGGAGTGCAAACGGCTTTAATGCATGATGTCTTCGGCATGGAGACAAACTGTTACTCAGTAACAGTTACAAAAGTTACTCCAAGAGACATTATGCATATGTAAGTGCCAGAGCCCAGGCTAGTGAAAGTTTCTCCCGTGAACCTTTAGCTGCAAAATCATCCTGCAAGCATTTCACAACCCATCTCCCTCAGCTGAAAGCCAGTCAAGGTCTAAAGGTAGGCATTTAAAGCAAAAGGACCAGGATCCTGAAGTATATTACCTCCAAGCAGGTCTTTGACGTCTTGTTCTCCAGCATTCTGGCACACACTCAGCTGGCGACACTGCAGGAGGATGCAGCGATCCTGGTAGGGCACAGACCAATTACAGTGATGGTAACCTGAGAACAGCACAGAAAATAGGTCGCTATGCACAGTATAGTGAACACACGGCTTCATGGCTGTAATTAAAGAATTTTAAAAAAACAACAAAACCAAACGATAGCTGGAAGGTCTGGCTTTAAAGAATGCTGATTCAACTCTAGTGAAAACAACTGGAAAGCCAATGAAATCAATATAGCAGCTGCAGCCTACCTATCTGCTTGTCTTCTGGTACTAACATCTCCTAACAGCAGCAATTAATTCACCCAGATAGGGACAAAGAGAGCACTACAGTTTGAACCCATCTAAATGCTAGCATTCATCTAGATGTCTTAATAAGAAAAAAAAAGAAAAAAAACCAGCCAAAACTAGAAGACACCCATCTCATCACCCATCGGAGACAGCTCTCATCTCAGAGCTTGGAGTTACACAGAAATTTATCACAGAATGGTTTGGGTTGGAAGGGACCTTAGAGATCACCTAGTTTCACCCCCCCTGCTATGGGCAGGGACACCCTCCACTAGACCACGTTGCCCAAAGCTCCATCCAACCTGGCCTTGAACACTTCCAGGGATGGGGCATCCACAATCTCTGGGCAACCTGTTCCAGTGCCTCACCATCCTCACAGTAAAGACTTTCTTCCTAATAACTAATCAAAATCTACCCTCCTTCAGCTTAAGGCGATTACCCCTTGTCCTATCACTCCATACCCCTGCAAACAGTCCCTCTCCAGATTTGTTGTAGGACCCCTTTAGGTACTAGAAGGCTGCAGTAAGGTCTCCCTGGAGAGTTCTCTTCTCCAGGCTGAACAATCCCAACTCTCTCAGCTTGTCTTCACAGGAGATGTGCTCCAGCTCCATTTTTGTGGCCCTGCTCTGGAGGCCTGCTCCATCAGGTCCATGTCTTTCTTGTACTGCGGCCCCCAGAGCTGGATGTAGTACTGCAGGTGGGGTCTCACCAGAGCGGCTTAGAGGGGAGAATCACTTCCCTCAACCTGCTGGTCACACCATTTTTCATGCAGCCCAGGATACGGTTGGCTTTCTGGGCTGCAAGTGCACACTGCTGGGTCATGTTGAGCTTAATGTCCACCAACACTCTCATTAGCCATGGGAATCATCACAGAAACTGTCTTTTAGTAAGTCAAATCCCACCATAAGCTAAATAAACTCATCACAGCAGGAACTCTATCTTGACATCCCTTCAAACTCACTAACTTCTTTCTCAGACTGTCTATATACACATAACCAAACTTTGAGGGAAGGAATGAACGTCCTCTAACCAGTGCTCAGGAGACATCTCAAATACTGCTCCCAGTTTTGGGCTCCCCATCATACAAGAGCAGTACTGATATACTGCAGCGAGTCCCAGGGAAACTACTAGATGTCTGAGGGGCTGAAGCAGATCATTTACAGGAAATCCCAACACAACATCAAGGGAAAAAATTAGTTTCCACCATGAGGACAGTCAAACACTAGGCTGGGGGCCAGAGAGGTGCTACAATCTCCATCAGGTCTTAAACAGCCAGATCTGACCAGAGACCTTCAAAAGGTCCCTTTCTGCCTAAATTATGCTATAATTTTATGTAATATCACAGTAGCATGCAATTCATTTCTGGGACATGTGCTGTAACAACAACAAAAAAATCACAGAAGATAACACAGTGATCAGTCTGGGATGAAGCAGATGTGCGCTTAACTGACCACCCATCAGTAGATTAAACAGAACTTTAGCATATGGTAGGACAAAGTACTATCTGTGTTTTGTTAGAAGTGTGAAAAAGGGCAAAGCCTATATGGTACATATGGCTATATTTAAAGCTCTTATCTACAAAGAGAGTTACCCTCACTGACAATTAAGGCTATGGAAAGCTTGAACTTTTCATTAAAAAAACATTTATGTTACCACAGTTATTAAAAAGGCTTGTGGAAAATTCATGAACTTGGAGAAATCCCTGCACCAACAACTGCAGCCTGTTTTGATAGCCCTAAAGAAACTAACAAAGGTGGAATTTTACTGACTTTATGTTAACAAAGTGTTAAGAAACCATCCAAAGCCTTTAAGAAAATTTTACTTAAAAAGCAATAAAATTGAAAGCTACAACAGTCATACAGAGCAGGAGATATAGCAGCAGCCACCCTTCAAGAAATTAAAATCCAGTCCTCAGAAATGAAAGCATGTTTGCATGTGCCCCGATTCCCAATCCCACCTCCTGTCCCTCACTCGATAAGCCATGCTAGTCGAGAAACGCAGACCATCTACCACTGTCAATCATGCCATTTCTCACTTCTTGGGAAGGGGAAAACAAAAAGCCATCAGCATATCTTGCCTTGGCTACATATCTAAGTCAGTCAGTTCTGAAAGATCAAGAGACCAGCGGGGTCAGCATGGTTAAAGCACTCTGGTTTCTGCTACCACCACAATGGTATCCAGCTGCTCATTGCTTCCCTGTTGCTCCCCAGGACAATCAGATACTTCTATTGAGTTGGACTGATTAATGCTCTCCTTTGATGCAACTCCAGATTGAGGCTCCAGCTGATGTGTCCACTTCAAGATACATGCCACCCAGTGACTCCTTTTTGCTCACTTCCAATTGGGACACAGGAAAAAAAAGAAAGAAAAAGAAGAAAGTGGAAGGACAACAAAAGCTCTTCAGAGCTATTTTGAAAGGAAACCATGTAGGCAGATGCCAAGGTCTTGCCCTACCAAACCAGTTTATTTCATTTTTAAGCCTGCTGTTACTGGGAAGAAATCACAGATGCCCAAAGGCAAGCAGAAGCCAGGTAAGCAGATGTATTGTGGAAGTAGGGATCAGGAATGTTTGCTCTTGCAGCCATGTCATACTTTCCCTTTATTTTCCCCAGAGCATGCAAGATAGCCCAGAAGTATGGCCAAGTGGCTCTGTTCTCAAAGCCAGACTGCTCTGACTGGCCAAGAGGTTCCTCTCCAGCCTTGGACTGGCCATCATAGAAGAAACCTAGGAGAGCTCTGAATATGGCTAGGATTGCAAAGGGAAGAGCATGAGCTTCACCATGCTCACTAGGCATCAAAGCAAAGATCTGGCAATCCAGGATAAGATGGGCACTTTCTCCATCACATATATCACTTACCCTAGCAGCATCTGGAGACTTGAACTCATTGAATTAGACAACATACAGAGGTTAGAGCTGCTACCCATGCTGTCAGTCCTAGAGAGTTCTGCTGCTTTTACTAGCATGCAATTGAAGTGTCAAACTGTCTCATGATATTGGTACAATCATTTTGTGAGGCCTCTGGTGTGGATATTCAAAGGTGATGCTGGAATAGCTAGACCAGCAACCATCCAGTTTTCTGCAGGGCACATCCAAGATGTGAATGTACTGGCAAAAGCAGTTCTTTTTGTGACAGTTGCACTACTACTGTAAGTTAGTGATGGTATGTCAGCAAGGGTATAAGTTACATCTACAGAAGAGAGCCTAACCAGCTAGGAATGTTATTTTTCCACTTCTCCAAGCAATGCAGCTATGCATATGTCTCTCCATGCAAACTTGGCCTGCAACTTAACACTAATACCTTTAAAAATAACAACCACTACTCCTTTACTGACAGTTACATAAGTGTAACTGTTCTGACATCTAAGTCTCAGACCTCATGTCTGTAATGAAAGCACAAAAATAAACACACTTGCCAAAGGTGGGAATAGAGAAAGAGAGCAGTAAAGCTGATCTTAAAACCTAAAGCTAATCATAAAAAAACAAAAAAAGTTTCAGGTCCTTGTCTCCAGATGATCTCTCTGCATGTGGCTGTACATTTATGTCAACAGTTTGTATCTTCTCCATCTACATTGACACCAGGTAGTGCAACAGTCTGGCCTTCAAGTAGCAAACAGGAATTAAATTGCTTCAGTGGGTTTAACACAGAACATAAAACTTGAAAAGGTTTCTGCTTTTGGGTTTAGTTTTGCATGGTTTCCTGAAGATGGAACAGGTCACCTAATTCTAGAGGATCAATGCTCTCTGCTCAACAAAGCTAATACTCAACTGGACTTGCTCTGTACAAAACACATCAGGAGAGAACAAGGTGAATAAAAAAGTGGTTGAAGTCAGTAACAGGGCAAAGCATGCATTCAAATCACCTCACAGACCTGATCACAAACTGTCCTGTTTTTTGGCTGGGATAGAGTTAATTTTCACAAGAAGCAGGGAGGGGACACAGCGAGGACAGGTGACCCAAACTAGCCAAAGGGGTATTCCATCCCATATGACATCATGCTCAGTATATAAAGGGGGCTGGCTGGGGAGGAGGAGTCACTGCTGAGGGTGGGGTGGACATGGGAGTCCGGTCAGGTCAGTGGTGAGTAAATTGCATTGTGTATCACCTGCTTTGTATATTCCAAGTACTGTTGTTATTTTCCTCTTCTTTTGCTGTCCTAGTAAACCGTCCTTATCCCAACCCATGAGTTTTACCCCTTCTTCAGATTCTCCTCCCCATCCCACTGGGAGTGGGAGGAGTAAGTGAGTGGCCACATAGTGTTTAGCTGCCAGCTGGGGCTAAATCACAAAACTAACTAAATTCCTTATGTCCCTCCTCGGGAAGAGGCAGCTGATAGCACTTTTTCTACCCTTATCAAGCTATCAGGAGGTTAAGATGACATGTGCACAGTGTTTTAGAGATTCTCAGATGGAACAGAGAAACATGCAGTGCTACAGACCCTAAGTGCCAGCAGAGTCAGTGTGAATGTGTCATCTCTAGGGTTTACCACCTCAAAAAGGCAGCTGAAGTTTTCACAGCTCTGGTGCCTGGGAGACAAACCCACTCACATTTTACCTCCTAAATAAAATGCTTAGTTTATAAAAGTGCTTTCTTTCCACTATGAAGGGATATCTCAAGTTTAAAACAAAGGTTTGAAACCACTGGGCATTAAAAAAAGGCATCTTTATGATGTTCCTATCCATCTGATTGTCAGAGTCATCCACCTGAGCCAAGGTCTCATCTTCACCACAGCATCACCAGTTTGTAGGTGCTACAAGCTTTCACATGTGGCTAGATAAGATAGGGTCCTTCATAAGGACAACTCTGAAAGACTCATTTAGAAATTTCATGCTTTTTAAAGACATCTCAGAGGTAGACAGCAGAAGGCTTTCATCTCCCCAGACTTGGTTAACCCTGTGCAGGATACAAGTGGTTTCTTCTAAGGCAGAAAACACACACATAAATACCAGTTAAAGACTACTCATTCCAGTGCAGCTGTCTACAACAGCACTATTCACTTGCAAACATCTGGCAGCATGGAATAGTCATTCTTCAAGTCAAGTGACCTAACACCATTTGCATGCTACCAGTGCACATCAAGTGCACAGGCATGCTGTTTCTTATGGAAGCTAGAAGGGCCCTGGGAAATGGTTGTTCTGGATTCAATTTAACCAAAGATGTCAGGAGTTAATTTAGCACCCAGGACTGCACAGAGAAGCCATAACTGTAAGTGCCTGTAAGCAACTGGAATTAAGAAAGATAATTGTCAGGGGAGCAGAGGAGACCTTTAAGGAACAAAAAACCCAGCTGGAATTTCAGCTAAGGGATAAGAACCTCACCTGAAGCACCTGGGCTTTGACAAGCCTGCCTGCACTGCTTTTCAGTTGTAAGCCTGTTTATTCGCACTACATGGATTCCTCTCCCTGTCAGGACAGAAAACCTGTGTTCACAAATACAGAAGGAAATCAGCAGAATCTTCAGGGTTGGCCTTGCAGGCAGGCTTCTCTTTCCAGGAGCAATTCTTTCTTACATCACTTTCAGATCCACTGCAATATACCTATTAAAAAAGAAAGATCAGTTTATATCAAAAGAGTGTTCTACTAAACACGTTCCTACCTGCAGGAATGGAAAAAAAAAGTACAACATAAAGGCAACGACGCAGAGGCAGGAAGAGAAAAGACCATTCCCAAATTCACGGAGAGGCTCTTTCTTTGGAAAGGGTACTTTGCTCTTCTTCCCTCAGGCCCTAACAGAGAACAGCTCAAGTCAAAAGCCTTGTGTACAAAGCCAAACTTCAAAGCCCACAGGCATATGGCAGCACAGACGTGATGACTTTTGACTCACTCTGGGACCCTTAATATTGTTCCCAGACTCAGCAGAAGGGTTTGCACCAGCTTGAGCACACTGATAACATGGGGAACTATAGTCCTATTCCTACCTTTACATCAAGTCAGTCAAAATGAAGCATCAGCCTTAGCTAATTCCTGCTTTGATTTTCCTGCTCATTGCAAAAAGCTAAAAGAAACTTCAAAAACAACCAAAAGCAATACTTCCAAGACATTATACAGACACATCAGCTGCTACTGAAGAAAATTCACACCCACAGTAAGCCTTCATTTCCCCACATAAAGCAGTAAATAGGCAATGTCTTTTCTTCATTACCAACACACACGAGACACTCTCCCAATGGATGGATTCTCATCCTTGAAGTCACTGGAGCAGCTCCTATTGACTTCAAAGCAGATCACCAGTTTTTACCTGGATTTACCCTCTTGTTTCCAGGACTTTTTAAAGCTTTATATGAGCTTCCAAACAGTTCGGCCTGAAGTACACCAATTGTAAGTCTCTTCCTTAAGTAGTCTTTAAGGGCAACTCTCTTCCTCATCACTGAAGCAAGCTTTAGTCCTCATCCTGCAGTTATGAAGAGAAATGTCACGGCTTTCAAAGAGTATTGAGATTCAACTCTGCAGGACATCAGAGGTGTACATGATGACTGCAGTTGAAGATGCAAAGGATGTTCACAACACAGAATGAGCAGCATATGTGAATGGTATAAATAGCATACTGAAAAACATTCTACAGTCATCAGTAACACACATTAAGACCCTGATTAAGCCATCCATGCAAGAAATTTCACCCTGAGCTCTCAACTCCAGTCCAACCACACTTGTGAATTTAAGAATCTGAGCAAGAGCCTTTTTTTCCTCCAAGAAAGCTCAAGATAACATTTATTAGCTTTGACTCACAGATTGCAATATTTTGATGCTTCATATCATGAAACATTTGTTTCCAAATTTTCCTCCTTACTCTGTGTCCTAAAGTCCCAAACAGGGTTACAGAGTTTTAGCCTCAAAAATCACCCTGCCTGAAAAAGGGTGAAACCCCAAGCTTTGCAGAGGACACACAACATAGAGGTCCACATTGGACTATCAAAGAGTTAAAGATGGGGACAAAACTTGATACTGAAATGTAGTGCTCAAATTCAGTGTCCCTAGTCACCCTACTGGTTCCCTAAGAAACTCAAAGGCTCCTTCCTGCCCTTTTATTTATTCCAGTTAAAAGTTATTTTGCCTGTTGAAAATAGAACATTTCTACATCTACTGCTTCCCCAGAGAGCATGGGAGCCCAAAAGGACCAGACTGTAGGGTACTTGCATCACTGACCCCAGCTCACACACTCCACTGCATCTTTCTCCGTGGATTAAGTGTGCATAGCATCACACTTGTTTTGTGCGAGCAGGTTTCTCACTGAAGCCAAAAGTTCATGCCTGGATCATCCTACCTGGCAGCTGAAAATATCTCTAAGTCTGACCTAACAACACAAGTCTTGGCAGGGAACGGCAGCTCACCAGCCCCATCTAGTCCTGCATACCAGGGACTGCACCTGGTGTCCAGCCAGCACCATCTTGGCTGCGGTCTCTCTCCCACTTTGCACTGCGCATGCACAGCACAGACTGACTTTGCTCATTCCTTCCCATCACTTGCGCTTCGAAGTGCACCTCTGCAGGAGTTGAAAGAATCAGCGCAGAAAAGAGATGACCTGTGTGATACACAACCACAGCCCCCACAACGGAGTACACAGGCATCAGCTGCCCAGGAAAGCAGCCCCGTGTTTCCGGCAGGGAATTGGTAATGTGAATATGTGTTATTCAGCCAAGATAACTTCAATACTTTTCCCACTGTTCTGAATTACAAGGCACTTCCACAAGTTCTCCTTAGCCTTTAGCACACTCTTGCTGTCACTCTCAGCATATGCTGTAGCTTACCCATTGAAAACTCCAGTTGACAAGACTGGGAGCAAGGGGGAAAAGAAGGGAAGATGTGAAATACTCTGCCCACAAGAAATTTTCCTAGAGCAGACAGATTCTTATTGCTGACGGACAGCAAAAGTTTGCTTTAAACTCCAAAACCTTTAACTTAAAAAGAGTGATTTGGGTTCCCTCACAGGTACTATAGGTACCCCACCAAGACACTCAGAGCATCATTTGTCAACCTGCACTCCCATCATGTTATGCAGAAATAAGTTCACAGGTCACAGGCAGAGATTCAACAAGCAGTATCTGACTCACAGGAAAAAGAAAAAAAGAAAAAATACATCATTGAGGGTAAATTTTACATTTTAAAGAGAGTTTGGCTTAGGTTTCTCAAGGGAAAAGGCTTATAAGAAGCAATATTTAAAGCCTAAGCAGTGACCCTGAGAATGAATTGGTGGTGCAATAACGCATGCATTTACTGTTTTAAAGAAAATAGTAAAGAATAACAGCAATGAATACAAACACAGAGCAGTCTCTTATTATACTGGGGTTTTTCCTACCTTTACTAATACCTTTGCAGTTACACTAACCAACCCTCAAAGAATAAACATCTTCCATTGCATTTTGCAAATGCAGATATAGCAGCATTATCTCTATGCATAAACACTATAATTATTATTATAGTTGAAAACTCTGTTGTTCAGGGCAAATAAAATAATTATAATTAATCTCAACTGACCTGAGAACTACATATATTTGTAAGATCAAATGTTGATCACACTCACTGCCTAGAAGCTGTTGCATTAACACAGCCCTAGGCCCCGCCCCCCCCAGGTACTTTGTATCCCCAACCATAGTAACCCACCAGAAGTCCTTCCCATCACAGCTGAGTTTGGTTCCACTTGACTGCCACAGCTGCAGAGGAAAGCAAAATCCCAGTAAATGCCTCTCACCTGTTCCACAGCACCTGGCAGCCTTTCTGCATTAGGCCAGCACCGCTTAGCGGGGACACGCCAAGCCCAGACACAAGAGGTTTGTCTCCCCTTTCTCTCTCACACAGTCTCCTCAGAGGCCAACTGATAATCCTTCCCCCAAAGTGCTCAATACAAACTTAAAAGCTTAAAATAATTTTAAATGTTCTTCAGGCAATTATAAAAATCCCCTTACAAATTGCAGAGTGAGCAGACAAGCAAACAACTCATTTCCAAGCCCAGCAAGGGGATAACCAAATGCAGTTGTACCTTTAATGCAGTCCAGATGATGCTTGGGATGCTGTATTAAATACCAGAATCTCCAGCTAGGGGTTGATTTTTTTTTTTCCTTTTTGGCCTCTTCCACCTTAGCACAATCCCATACATCCAGAACAAGAGTCACAATTACTTGCAGATCACTTTTCCCAACTTAACTGCCTTTTATAATTACAAGAAATAAGCTTTATTTCTGCCTTCCCATCACACTTCTAGCCAGTCCCACATGGCTCCATTTGCACTCAGAGACCCCACTGAGCATCCACCCAACACACCTACATCCAAGAAAAACATCAGCTAAAGCTTCTTCTCCAGATCATGTTGCTCCCCAAAAGAAACCATCCTCTGGCTGTCACAGACAACAGGAAGGAAGGTATGAATGCTACTGGTCCCATCAGAAATAATTTTGGTAAGTCAGGGCAAATTTCACTACCTTCGCCATCTGTAGAGCATTCTCAAGGAAATTAAAAGTCAAACCCAGCAACAAATAAAATCTGGGAAAGGACTACACTCTGAAAAGTGCAAAGTTTACTTTTACCATCTGTGGCTATAACTCAGCAGGGAAGAGGCACACTGGAAAACCAGAATAACTTTAAGTCAACAACTGAATGACTGATGACTTTGCAATGTACACACACATCTAAAGGGCACTGCCTGCTGGCTTTCAGAAGTGTTCCTTCCTTCTTGCTGATCTCCCTGTGCTTGGGCCAAGGAATTTGTGGGGGGAAAAAAAATTCAAAGTATTATTTCAAACAACATTGATTGGGGTGATGTTGCAAAAGCAGAGTGAAGCCTTTGGAATATAAACCCCTTGCCTCTGTGCCCTCCCAGCCAGCCTCAGTTGCTCCTAGTTAAGCAGCTGCAAGGTGCATGCAAGTGACTGTAACAAGGTGAAAGGAGATATTTAGAACTAGACAAAAAAACATGGTAGGAGGGAGTGTGCATGTTACAGATCACAGGTACAAAGCAAGCACAGCAAATCACTTAGGACAACACAAGCTCCTTTGAGCTGTGAAAGGGCCAGCAGACACTGCCCCAAAATTCATACTTACAAGTGTGCACGGACTAGGAATGAAATAAGGTCAAAGAGCTGCAAAGAAATATTCTATCCTCAATATAAGAACAAAGCAGGGAAAAGAAGGGTGGAATACCTTTTGATGTGAGAGTAGCGTCATTGTCTGTAAAATGAGAAGACATAAGGCCTGGTTTCAACTTGCAGTTGCTGCTCATCACTTCATGCGTTGTCAGCTCTCAAAACAACCACTATATTTCACTATATAGAAAACCAGAATTAAACCAGATTTTTGTAAGGGAACAGAAGCACATCTCATTTTGTGAATTGAGGCTAGAAAGCAGGAGGCAGGGAATCTGTGCTGCAATCTTGAGAAGCATTTGGCTTCCCAATCTTATCTCCAAGGCTGAAGTTGTACACGTGGATAAGTCTGGAGACAGAAGAGGCAGCACCAAGGCACATGAGGCTGACCCACTGTCAGCTGAGCAGGACCAGATGGAGTTACATCATTCTCTGAACAATGGATTTAGAGCCATTAAGTTCCTTTGGCTCCTGAAGAAAGTTTACGACAAGTTACAAAGCTGTTTCTACATAATGTCATGTGCTATCAACAATGAAGGATGAACTGAACAGAGGTTGTGAAGCAGAAAAGCTTTAGAGATTACAGGGGAGGAAATGCATTACTACGTCCCTGGTCTGGACACAGTTCCTTTGACTTCCCAAGGTGCTTGCATGCTGTGAAGCACTCCCACTTCCTTGGAAAACCCAGGCTACAATGGTCAAAGGTCCATTTGTTGCCCCAATACAGGCTCTCCATGCCCTCACCATTTTCAGCATTAACAAAACGCTCCTCTGGGAGGATGACTGAGGTGGGACATGCACAGTTCCATACTTTCAGAGGGAGTTTTGAAGAAAAAAGTGCCTAGAAATCACTGAGTTTTATCCCATAGATACATCAGCCAGGCTAGGATGGTGACCAACAAGCTGGATCTGATAAACATCTGGAGCTGACACGAGGCCAACAGAGCATTCGGGGCTGATCTGCTGCAACAATAGGGTGCAAGTTACACAAGCTCCAAAATGCAATTCAGACAAGAAATGAATTGCCAGCTCGGTCCAGAAGAACATCACTTATATTCCTTCCACCACACAACTTCTTCAGAGCGTAACACTGCACAGCTGGCCATGTATTATGGAAGAGCTGGCACATCCCTCCACATTTAGCAGGCATGCTCCTCACTGCAGCAAGCAGAATAGGGTATTGCATGGACATTGGTTTGGTCTGCTGCTGCCTTCTCTGATGTTTTTCCTCATATATGTCCACAAAAACAATATTTTAAAAATCCTACAAAGCCAAAAAGCCCACAAAGAATGCATCACACCGGACTCTTAAGAACAACAGCCCAATAAGCAAAAACATTTCATTTAGGCAGCCATAAAGTTATGGATCTTTTCCTCCCCTAAACATGAACCACCTCCTTCAGTTTGTAGTGGAAGACTACTGTAGAAATGGTGCTTTTTAAGAGAAGTTTGCAGCTGCTAAAGTATTTCTCCAGCTGCCACATATTACTCTCTGCAAGAAAATCCATTATTCTGCTTGTAAATGGCCAAACATAATAGATCAGGAATTTCAAGATGCTCTGCATCAATAGAATAAACACCTTAAAGTCTCTTTCAAAGAAGTGGAACGCCAAGTTTTGCTGAGAAACTCTGGGATCACACTTGGACTTGGCAGACACATGAAACTTACACAAGCATAAAGCACTTCAGGCTCCATGCTAACAAAGGCATTTTATGCTACACAGGGTCAAGGCCATGCAAAGCTCACAGCATCTCTGCAAGGTCAACACCACCACGTTCCCACAAAAAGAATGGAAAGCCATTTCCATGCAAGAGGTGGATTAATTGCA